AATAGCATTGCAAGACAAAAAGTTAAAAAAAGAAAAACAAGTCACGTATTGAACACATATTGAACTCCTTTTTTTTTATTTTGCATTGTTTGATATTCTGAAGTTCTTCAACAAATTATTTATTTTACTATTATTTTATATCATTGACAAGATGAAAGACGCAAAGCACAGAATACCTGATACGTTAAATTTGTGTATGTACGTGTTGCGAATAAGCGGACAGGGATTATTTATTTGGAAAGTCCAGAGATGCAATATCCTCTTCCTGGCTGTGGCGGCCCGTGAGTTCACGTGTGAAACCAGCAATTTAGTCATCCGGTTCCGCGTCGTGTTATGCGCGAAGTTGAATTTCGAGTTTTTGCGGAGCGTTCCGCAAAGATATATGTGGGAGAGAAAATATCACGTGTAGCTATTTAAAAAGTAGGTCTCCGCCACACGATAGTATGGTATATATATATGCTATGCTGTACCGCCTTGAGCAATGCACTGCCTCGGGAATTTCAATGAGGATTCAGCGTTTTTTTTTCGCTTCTTCAGTACCTTACGCAATATGCCGTTTTTCCCGTGACATCCGGTCCCGCGTCCATTGTGGTACGACGCGTGCAAAATTATGCTAATATACACGCGGGTTATCGGCTTATTGGTAATTGCGAAATCGCCTGCGATTGGTGGGTTTCGGTATAAAGAAGTTTATTACTAACCGATAAGAGCATTTGCTTGCAGGCTCATCGATTTGAGTTATTTCAACATACAACTGTTACGATTTTATTTAATTTTATTTAATTATAACATGAATAAAATCATCTTAAGACTGATTGTACGATTTTGACTTAAGGACATTGTAAGGCAAATGCAATATGTTAAGAATTACTTGAAAAAAATTACAGATTATTTTAAATTGCATTTAAAAGTAATACAAAAAAATTAGAGACAGTTGATCATCTGGATAAAAAATTATTTCAATAAAAAGTAATATTTTTTGAATTCGTACTCTAATAGAAATGTATGAAAATATATTATAAAATAATGATAAAAATCTCAATTTTTTTATATAAGTACTTTATGAATTCAAAAATATTTGTGTAAAGTTACATTGAGATGCAGACATTAATTGTTCAGTAAATAAACAAAAATATTTATTTGTTATTAACTGATTCGTGAATCTCAATGAAACTTTGCAGAAGTCATTTTTAGTATTTAATATTGTATTTATATTATAAAATTTAGATTTTTGTTATTTTCAAAATTTTTGTTTATAATAATAAAACTATAATATCAAGTAAAATAAATAATCTATAAAAATGTGTTGCTCAATAAAAATAGAGTACGAACACAACTTTCACATGTATGTAGTTTGTTTAAAGTGTAAATATTAATATGTTTTTTATGCCCTTACAATCTCCTTAATTTAGATTTATTCACCGAGCAAACAAATTTCA